ATTAGTAGCAGAACATAATGAACAGTGATAGTGAATTAGAAAAAGTGTTAGCTAGCCGAAAAAAGTGGCAACTGAAAATTCGCAGTTACATATAGTGAAAAGTGTTAGCTAGACGAAAATGATAAAATCAACTAGTTTTAGTTGATTAATAGCTGCTAGTCAGTAGTGTTAGAAAACCAGCTACTACCAATAGATATTTTAATACCACCGCACATTTTAATTAAATCTTTTGAAATATATAGTGACCAACCAATAGTGAACAACCGTAGTTGAACAACCGTATTCAACAACCGTGGTCAATAAATAATAATTATAAAATTTCGCGACTAATTAATCAGTCGAACCGCTGGCCACTCCCTTGCTATTTGAATTTATAAATCGTGCATTTTAATTTTGAACCTCAGTCCACAGTTTTCCAGCAGCACACACAGAGACGGCAGTGGAAGTATCCTCCGGAACATATAGGTGTAGGACGTGAGCGACTCGCGGAGTATCTTCGACAACATTTACTCCGGAGAGTTACGCCCGTCCGGCACACTATCCTATAAAAAAAGGTATATTTCTGCTTATGCACCTTGAGATACTATCGCCAACTATTTGCTGGCTCAAGTTGCCGTCAAAATATCCCAAAAACTACGCAATGTGCCGCAGTAACATATTGTGAATTCAGAACCGGATTTCTGATTTTATGCAGCCGGTCTTAGGTCGAAATGAAGAAGTTTCCAATTTCTTTTATGGATAATTTATAAAAAATTGAGTAAAATAAAACAAATATGTCAAAGAATCAATAAAACATCTCTAGAAATAAAAAGTTATGGGACTTTGAAGTTGCGCTTGCAAGAATAATTATGTTAAACGCGGCGCTCCATCGTGTGACGTCATTTGACCTAGACGACGCAGCACGTGTTCGCCGAGTACGTACAAAGGAGAAGGAGACGTCTCCATGCACTCTTGTGCCCTAGTGTTAACAAGATCAAAGTAGGGCCATTTGAAAGTTTATATACAAACAATTCGTAGCTGAACATCTGGCAAGATTTGTCAATCTAGGAGCTGAGTTACTGTAAAATAAGTAAAAGTGAGACCGGACCACAGAATCGAAAAGATGTTATTCAACACCCCCAATGTTTTTGAAAGACCTATCCAACGAACCCCTCATGATAGAATACACGTAAAAAAAATCATCCTCCATTTACTTGTGTGGGAAGTACCTAAAATAAAAATGTTTTTTTAAGATATTATTTCACTTTTCTAGGCGTGGTTAATATTTATAACTGTGCCAAATTACAGATTTGTAGCACCTAGGGTCTGAGTAAAACCGCGGACGGACATGGCGAAACTATAAGGGTTCCTTGTTGTGTAACTACGAAAGTCTAAAAACGATTAAATCAGGATATACTAATCTTATATAATTTTTTCGGATTTTATTTTGGGAATTGATGATCAATGATCCTGCTTTCACACGGGGCTCCTTATAAAAAGAGGTGAAATATTTGTTACCCAATAGAAATATTTCATCATCATCATTACAGCCCTTCACAAGTCCACTGCTGAACATAGGCCTCCCCCAAAGAATGCCACAAAGCACGGTCCTGAGCCACCTGCATCCATCGACTTCCTGCATGTCTTACCAGGTCGTCACTCCATCTCGTGGGGGGACGCCCTACACTTCGCCTACCGGTACGAGGCTGCCACTCGAGAACCTTTCTTCCCCATCGGTTGTCGGTTCTTCGAGCTATATGGCCGGCCCACTGCCACTTCAGCTTACTAATCCGTTGGGCTATGTCGGTTACTCTGGTTCTACTGCGGATATCCTCATTCCTAAGTTTATCACGCAGAGAAACTCCGAGCATAGCCCTCTCCATAGCTCGCTGAGCGACCTTGAGCTTCCTCATACGGCCAGCAGTGAAGGACCACGTCTCAGTTCCGTAAGTCACCACTGGCAACACGCACTGGTTGTACAATTTCGTTTTCAGGTTTTGAGGTATGTTTGACGAGAAGATGTGTCGTAGCTTCCCGAACGCTGCCCAGCCGAGTTGAATCCGTCGATTGACCTCTCGGTCGAAGTTGGACTTACCTAGTCGGACTATTTGTCCCAGGTAAACATACTCGTCAACAACTTCGAGCTTAGTGCTCCCAACAACTACCGGCATAGGTGTGACATGGACATTGAACATGATCTTTGTTTTGTCCATGTTCATCTTAAGACCTATCCGTTGGGAAACACTATCGAGGTCATTGAGCATAGTGCTTAGGTCCTCCAGCGATTCTGCCATAAGGACTATATCGTCGGCAAATCGAAGGTGAGTGATGTACTCGCCATTGATGTTGATACCGTATCCTTTCCAGTCCAGAAGCTTGAAAACGTCTTCCAATGCAGCGGTGAAGAGTTTCGGGGATATGACGTCACCCTGTCTTACACCTCTCTGCAATTGGATAGGTTTCGTACTCTGATTCTGTACTCGGATAGCCATCGTAGCCCTACTGTACAAGCACTTCAACACTTCGATATACCGACAGTCAACTTGGCACCGCTGAAGGGACTGCAGCACCGCCCAAATTTCGACGGAATCAAAGGCTTTCTCATAGTCCACATACGCCAGGCATAGTGGCAAATTGTACTCTTCGGACTTCTGTACAATTTGCCGAAGGGTATGTATGTGGTCTATGGTGCTAAAGCCCTTTCGGAAACCGGCTTGTTCGGGAGGCTGGAAGTCGTCAAGTCTGCGCGCAAGACGATTCGTAATGACTCTCGAAAACAGCACGTAGACGCGGCTCAGAAGGGAAATCGGTCTGTAGTTCTTCAAGAGAGCGTTGTCACCTTTCTTGAAGAACAAGACCACCGCACTTCTGCTCCACGCCTCCGGTGTAATGCCACCATGGAGGACGGAATTAAAGAGCTTCTGAAGGACTTCAAGTACCGGTCTTCCACCCGCTTTCAGAAGCTCCGCTGTAATTCCATCCTCGCCTGGGGCCTTACCGTTTTTAAGGTGCTGGAGAGCCATTCTAATCTCGCTCAGACTGACGTCCGGGATATCTTCGGAATAGTGTCGGATGAGACTCGCTCTTGGATCGTTACTCACACTTGCGTGTGGCTCCAACGATGACGTGTACTGCTGCCCATAGAACCTCTCAATCTCACTCAAAATCTCAGGTGTCCCGGAAACGATGCTGCCGCATTCTGTCTTCAGCTTTGACAGTTGGCTCTTTCTGGCAGACAGATCTCTGGCAATGACTTTGGAGCCTTGGTTCCGCTCGATCGCTTCTTCAATACGAGCTGTATTGAAGTTGCGTAAGTCCCGCCGCATGCATACTACTGACTGATTGCCAAACGTGTGGATACATAGCAAACACCTTTGTCGAACACCCTTTGATCGGTGCACAAAAACCGACCCCAACGCTGATCACTGGCATTCACATACAAACAAACAAACAAACAGGCAAACAACCATCCACACGTTCGTGATTGCTGTTTGGTGTATGCTGTTCGCCGTTGTTTGGCAAGCGTGTGGATGAGGCATAAGAAAAAAATTTTCTTATATCAATGTATGGAGTGTAGAGAGAAGGAGGACCACCTCTATACAATGAAAAGTGTCCCTAAAAACGAGTCCAATAAGGGTGGCGCTGCAGTAGCATAGGATAAATAAAAAAAAAGCGCCAAAAGTAATTAGAGTACGATGGAGAAAATAACAAGGTACGACCACGACCAATCCGCTTGGTTTTGTACTACGTAAATAGTTGAGAATTTGTATACTGGCATTTTACTAACTACTCTAGTTATGAAATTTTTTAAATATTTGAATTCAGCTGACTTCACTCCATTCATAACAGCTATCTTCATATCGTAGTTTTTCAGACGCCAGCGCTATTGTGGTAGGTTTTGGAACCTCTATTTTCAGTAAATAGTAGGACACTTTTTCAACTTTCGCCCCTTATAAGATGGTTCTCCTTGTACTCTACACTCCATATATCAATGGTTATGAACACAAACTAGTAAGTTGGTTATGTAATACAGTAGGGGTATCCACTTATAAATATATCGATATTTAAATTCGATCCAAAACATCGGATCCTAGTATCGATGTTTATCGAAATATCGCTTGAAAACATCGATATTTTTTCACTATCGAATACTCTCCACAAAAGTTTAGTATTACTCTTTTCCAGTGAAATGCGCAAAGTTTGTGGTCCTTGATTTTGTATGTGTGAATGTAGAATCAGAGACCAGAGTAGCAAGTAAAAATCTTACATAAACGTGTCTTAGATAAACAATCAAAACAATGATTTAATTGCGAGAGCAAGAAGAGTGAGAGTGAGTGAATGAAAGTTAATATAATGAACCCATGAAGCTAATACAAATTTTTTTTTTTTTTTTTTGTATTTGCTTCATGAATGAACCTATAGAATCCACAGACTACATACATTGAGAGCGAATGGTCGATCGATCTGTCAGTATAGATTTGGTAATTAAGCTGGTCACTCACAGATCTAAATGAACTTTACTTAAAATTAAAGTCGTCAAGTAGTGTTAAAATTATCTAGTTTTTTAATAGATTCAACAAAAAAATAAACAGACAAATATTCGATGTTTCGATAAATAAATATATCGATATATCGAATACAATAAATATTTGTCAAAACATCGAATAAATTCGATATATCGATGTTGAGTGAATATCCCTAAAATACAGTTTGTTTCATAGATAAATAAATATGTAAAAACTAGTTTGTTTTGACCACAGAGTACTTTTTTATACAGTTTTGTTTTGAGTTTTGACTTTTGACACACAAACTATATAGAAATTAGAAACATACAACTTTATAATTTGTGTATAGAAACACCAGGTATTAGTGTTCTGTGTGGTTCTGTGCATCTGTGGTTCTGTGAGAAACACTACGCGTTTTTTGACATTATTTTATAAAAATGTTGCGTGAACTATAATATATGATTTTAAATGGCATCTTTATAACAAATATATTTACTTGATAGATAAAACACTACAATGCAGCCTGAACTGCATGTTAATACAAATCTGTACAAGAAACCGTTTCCATCTTTTGGAATACCAAATATTATAGGTTACATTGGTTACGAAAATATCATGTTTGCAAAAACCATTCAAAACAAACAAGTTCAAATTGATTTAAATCTTCATATAGATAAAGTAATACGTAAACCCCCTGATTTGGATGTAAAGTTAACAGACTTATTGCAGTTTTTATTGCAACAGGAAACACGGTTAAAGCTTGATCCAGTAACAGTAATCGATAATGCCAAATTTTTTTGTTATCGTGGTTTAATGACATGTATTGCGTGCACTCCATATGAACGTAAAGATTCTTGGAGGATTGTAGGTGTACTTTTTAAAGGAAATATTTATTTATGTGCTAGAGATACTGAAGAAAAGAAAAAAATGAAGCAGAATATGACAAAAAAAGAGCAACAGTTCACTTCCTGGGGATATAAGTTTGAACAGTCAGTTTTATCAGGTAGTACTTATATATGTTCCGATATACACCGACTACTGTAAGGTGTGACGTCCATTCAGTATACTGTAAACCGTTACTTTTTAGTTGCTATACTGGTTACTGTTTAAAATGGAACGCAGTCCAGGATACTGTCATTCTCATTTTTCGACATTGTTTCCAAATGATATAATTTAAATAACAATATTAATTAATAATAATAACAATCAATTGTGGAAGCTGTTAATCTCTAGGTGCTGTTATCTTTTTTGATCACGTGATCAAAGTACTGAGAGCACCTTACCTCAAAAATGTCAGTACTCAAAGTACAAAAATAGTGGCAATTTATGATGTTATATATTTCCTTAGAGTACTGTGGCAGTATAAGAGCAGTCCATAACAGAACAAATTTTCTACCAATGAGAGCAATGAGCAGTGCTCGCAGTGTATATCAGAACATAACCAATATTAATAGTTGTTTTGATACATTATGTAAAACTACATTAAAATACACAGAAGTAGACAAAAAAAAATGTTTATACCAGAGAACACTGTACACTCTCGTACATGGGCGGTTCTCACCGCCGAGAATATCGACCGACAAGCTAAACAGTCAGAGGCGGAGGTATGCACACCTCCATTCAGACAACAGTTAGATAGCTCAATAAGCCTCAACAGAGGGGGCATGATGATTGGTAACAATACCAAATCATAAACCATCATCATCCTCATCCTCATTTGCCGTTTCCTTTTTTAATTAGCGTCTCAGCTCTGAGTCTAATATAATAATATCAGTAGAATATAAAAAATATAATTTTGCAGTCTTTACCGGCAGGTGTGAGTATAGATAGCGACAATGTGCGAGCGAGAGGTGAATACAAGTGATCCCATTTTCAATCCCATTCTTTGACCATATGGGTAGTATTATTGATATTAATTTTAGCAGATTTCAATAAAAGGAGGAGGTATCGATATATATCAGTATCTTTTAGTTATACTTCAGAGATGATTCCATATAAACTAGGAGAAAAAATTATTTTTATTAAGTTACATTTTAGTTATTAGTAGATTAAAATTTAAAATGAAATGCAGCTGTGGTGCTACTGTTGATGTCATTTTATTTAAAAATTTAACTTTTAGCTGAATCCAAGAAAAAAAGGGATTCTCAATTTGAGTGTATTTTTATTTGTATGTATGTTACTCAATATCCCATAGGGTGGTCCCATAGATTTAGGGGTTATGTTTTTAATGTAACTATTTTGAAGACATTAAGATTATGATATTTCTTCGTCCACTCAAAAGTCTTCAAAGATCTAATAATAATAAAATAATTTATCATTCATAAATTCATGGATTCTACTATACACTATATTTCTTGCACATTAAAGTGTACATAAACAAGCTATAGATCACATGTATCACTTATTGCCCATTATGCCAAGCGTAAGCAGATGTTGATACATAGATGAAATGGTGAATAGTGACGCACCATGATGGATGCTTATGCGTTAATGTACTTAACTAATTAATTTATTAAGAGAAATATTTAGTAAATATTAGATAGGTTTTAGCAGATCAATAAAACACAGGTAGGTAAAACTGTGTTTAATAATCAACCATAAAAATCTTATTATCTAAATGCCCCTTAAAACAGGTTCACTTATCATATAATTGGATTTTTAATTACTTGATTGCAGAGAGAATATATACAAGATATTTTATTCTAATCTAAATAAAAGAGAATGTCCGAGTGACTGACTCATTAAATCATTAATCAACACACAACTCAAATGTAGATGCAGAAATCTGAAATTTGGACAGTACCTAGCTGCCTGTTATAACGTAGGCATGTGCTAAGAAAGAATTTTGGAAAATACAAAACTTAAGAAAAAGGGAAACAGGATGTTAGTTTTTATATAAAAAAAAATTACAGGATGATTGACTCGACACGTAAGCATCATATTAGTCTGTGACTCGACATTTACTGAAAGTACTATGTAAATAAAATAAAAACGTATTTTAAGATTTTTTAAAACGTTTCGTGACCAATAGCGTTGCTCTTGCAATTTCGAGACTGTTCATATCCGTGCTTACTGTTTATACTCAATAACGCGTGCTCTATAGCTTGCTTATGTATACTCTAAGAGGACATGCATGTGGACAATAAAAGTAATATAGCTGAAATGTGCCTCTACCATGTGATGTAATGTAAAAATAAGGCCTTTTTATTTCTTTCAGAAAAACCGAATTTGGATCCTGATCCAAATAAGCCTGTAGATGAAAATAAAGAGTTTTCATTGGTCTTTAAAAGTCATTTGAACAATCATAATATTGTGTATGGTGCTGAAATGGATGGAATTCGTTGTGACCGAAGTTCAGTGGATTCCCCACCAGATTTGAAATTTGGATATGAAGCTATTTTAAAATACTTGTCAAATAAAGAGTTCATAGAAGTTAAAACAAACAGACACATAGAATTTCCAAATCAAGAAAGAAATTTCAGGTATGCACCGAACACATTATTTTTTATATTGTATGGTATAACAGCGGCGCCTGTCAAAAGAACCAACACACTGGCCCACAAACGGAGCAACAGATGGACCAACAAGCGAATCTAGAAATGAAAGAGGTAACCTATATACTTATGTTTCAAATTGTAAATAAACATCATAATGACTGTCAGATAGATTATCTGCTGAAAAAGTGAAACCTAGTCTACCGACAAGTTTCCTGACTACGCCTACAGCTGTGTATCATTTTCCGTTCTGATATGCCTACTTCAAAATTATGACAGAAAATTTGTGCAGCAGCAAATAGTTCACAAACAACACGATCTATCTCCATTATTTTCCAATCGCCACATGACAGATGCAATCTCTATTCCCTCACACTTGGTGTATAATGTATTTATTTGTCACTTACATACATACTACAGAGCACTATTACTCTCTACCAAAGGGTACATATATATATACTGACTGAAAATTATATATTTATTATGTTAATTGATTCATTATTTTAATCCAAAAGTATTGGTATCAATGTCCCACATGTAGTACGTACATACTACAGAGCACTATTACTCTCTACCAAAGGGTACATATATATATATACTGACTGAAAATTATATATTTATTATGTTAATTGATTCATTATTTTAATCCAAAAGTATTGGTATCAATGTCCCACATGTACGTACATACTACAGAGCACTATTACTCTCTACCAAAGGGTACATATATAAGTATTTAGAGATAAAATATATATACTGACTGAAAATTATATATTTATTACGTTAATTGATTCATTATTTTAATCCAAAAGTATTAGTATAAATGTCTCAGTTACAAAAATCATTTAATAATTTTTCTCCATAGGAATATGAAATTAAGAAAAGCATAAAAACTTTAACATCCTATTTTCCCCACTCAGAGCTTAATTTTACAAAACACTTTCGTAGTGCCTACGTAATAAATTGAACTTGTTCCCATTTCACGCTTCTGCGTCCGGCGGTTTGGGCTGTGCGCCATTTTTCATAGAAACTATTTGACTTACTCTTTTTAAAATCTTAAATAGGGTAGATTTTCGAAAAAATAAAAATTCATGTTTTTTTTAATAGGAGAGAGGGCAATCGAGCATACGGCTCACCTGATGGTTATATGTATAAATAATTGGGGAGCCCCTGCCCAGAGATGGGAACAGTATTCCAAGTGAGGTCAAACCAGCGCCTTGTAAAGTTGCAGGCGGTGTGCCTGCATGAAATACTGTCCCGCTCTGCTGAATACGCCAAGCTTTTTAGAGGCCAATTTGGCTTTCTCTTCCTAGTGACCACGAAACTGCTCGTCACTCGATATGTCGACGCCGAGGATTCCGATACTGGCTGAGGCAACAAGGGGAGTGCCTTGGAACTGAGGAGATGCGACAAAGGGGTTCTTTTTAGTGGTAAACGCGCAAATATGTGTCTTCTGAGGATTAAACTGGTCTAGATTTAGTCGCCCCCAATCCGAGACTTTGTTCAGCAAAGACTCGACTTCAGACACAAGTTAAGACAATATTTTTCAAACAAACTTTGCATGCTTGTTTTAAAACGGATATTTTAAATGTCCATTTAACTCAAGAGTACATGCATCACATGTTTTAAATTATAAGAACCATTAATTATATTTTCTTTATACAAGTAGAACATGCTCTGCCTCCCCCCACCCCGTAAAGAGTTGTTTTGGAAAAATCGCAAAGTATGGTATTAATTATTAAATTGATTTATTTTTTACAGTCAATCGAGTCAAAATAATAAAAAGTTTGATACAAATTGTAACGCCCTATTTCACTCTCTTAGGGGTGAATTTTCCTAAATTCTTTCTTATTGGTTGCCTACGTCATAAAAGGCAGCTATTGTCCAAACTTTAGATTTCTGTCTAGTGGCTTGGGCTGTGCGTAGATAGACGAGTCAGTCCCTCTGGTCATCTTTTTTATATATTATATTAACACTCGGTGAAAATGCCGGTTCCACGTCCACGTCCACGTCCTCCAAAATCACTCAGCTTTTTCGAAGAGATCCTTAATAATCGCAGATTTCGTAGGGCGATTGTTTCGACGTTGCTTCCCGGAGTAGAATACACTATCGCGTTTTTGAAACGCTTTTATACTCAATAAGATGATGTAGAACATTCAAAGTCAATCCAGGTCATTCAAACATTCCCCTCTTTCAGTGGTAAAGTATTAGAATATTCGCAATTAACAATATGCTCACGCTTTCTGCACATAGACATAAGGTTGCGTCTTGCTTGCATCAATAAGTTTGAGCATTCTCTATTCTTAAGCCACATTTTATCTTAACAAATGCCGTTGACCCTTATTTTCGGGAACATTTCCGTGCAATGTGATGCAACACGTAACTGGCTGTCGTAAATATACTTTTTTTGGATACCTTTCCCAAACACACATACATATATTACATAAGGTTATAAAAATACAGAAAACTCTCTGTGATTCAAGTTGTTTTACTTTAAGAAACTATTTTTTTGTTAAGAAGAAAGCTTGAAATTTATAGATCAAAATATCTGCTGTGGAAGACAAAAAAGGAATTGTAAATCAACTGAACAACTATGTTAAGAAAAAATTGAATGTCGAAAACAAGTTCATTAAAGATAATCATTTTCTTTTCCAGATTATTTAAAACAAAAAAGTGGTGGTGTCAGTCATTTCTTGCAGGTGTAAACACTATTTTATGTGGATTTAGAAATGATGATGGCATTGTTGAAGAGTTAAAAGTCTTTGCAGTAAATGATTTGCCGAAAATATCATCAGTAAGTTTTTTTTACTTGTTTTTTTTTTTGCGCCGAAGCAATTGGAAAAGGGCTACCCTTTACGTAGGGAGGCGGAAAATGCATTACGCATACCACGACAGCCGATCTATCGTGGTTATGAGGGACTCACTGCCTACCGGGGAACCTAAGTGATACCCTCTAAAAACCGTCTTTGGGGACTGGCAACCAGCTGTTTAAAGCTTCTTATGCCGTATCGGAAGCGACTCTCTTTTGGGAAAAGAGGGTCGCTTTTTTTTTACTATAAAACAATCTTACTTCTTCATTAATTAAGCCTACCAAGGCTTTTAACCACTGTTGGATATAACCCTTTTCAAGAATGAACAAAATTAATTACTAGAAATACAATTGCCTACGTGTAGAGCCGTGGTAGAGCCGGGGCTAAGCGTTTGTTGTAAATTTCACAGTACGCAAACAACCCGGGTTCGATCTACGCCGGCACCAATGAAATTGTTAATTGCAATTTTAAGTGCTGATTTATCACGTGCTCAGCAGTGAAGGAAAACTGCATGTTAGAGAAAAAAATATATTTTTAGACATGTGAAGTTCGCCAACACGTATCTCAGAAATGAGAGGAGGCCCATACCAGCAGTAGGACGTATTTAGGCTGTAACTTTAACTACAAAGTGTGCATTAGTTGTGGATTAAGACAAATCCTCCTTATATGAGTGAAGTTTGCAACAGATAACTTTTATAGGCTTAGGTAGGCTTTTTAACATGTTATGATATTATTATTTTTTTACAGAAATTCTGGGACCCGAATGTTTGCTTTAATTTTCTAGAAACATTTTTAACATATGTTAAAAGATGTTTCTCCAGGGAAATTAAACAGAAATATGGGCATGCTGCTTTAAATGACATGCAGTCACTTCCTCTAATAAGTTTGCATTTTGAATGGAAACCAGGTTCACCCGTTCAGGTAACGGACAACTACATCTATGAAGACGATCCTATATTGCCAGATTGGTTCGTTGAAAATTTTGGAAAATATTCACATATTGCTAGATAAATATTACTATTTTTGTGTAATCATATAATAAGTAAATAATGTAATATTTTAAATATTTTTTTGTAATCACTTGTAAAAAATGTAAATAAACAATGTGAAAGTGAGGTATACTTAACTTTGTTTTCGATATCCAACTTGAGAGGTACTATAATCTACAATCGAAAGCTAATGAAGCGGGTCGAGTTTATTTTTAATGTTGGATTACGTCACCACACATACCACTGATTATAGCAACTCATGCTGTATTTTTTTTTATAGGAAAAGGATGACAAACGAGCACTCAGTCCACCTGATTGTAAGTGGTTGCTGTGGCCCATAGACATTTTACATCTATCCTCGATTACGAATCAAAATGCAGATGCATTGTCACCCGTGAGGACTAAGATAGAATGCCTCGTTTCCAGTAAAAAGGATCTCCGGTTTTCCAAACTCACCATACGAAACACAGCAGCGTTAAGCTTGTATTTTGTGAGAGCGTGGTCCTTCCCCGTTCGAGCCGACCCATTCGTCCTACCACGTAAAAAAGTTAGGTATAATGTAAATGTCTGTTGACTCTCGAGTCTATTAATGACGGTACTGACTGCCTCGTTGGTATAGTGGCCGTAAACGCGACTGTAGACCATAGTCATTGAATTTTTCTGACAAGAAATTCTCAGTAGCAGCCCGGCGTTAGGAAATTGGTGGTGTTTCACTCCGTCCCTTGGATAGCATGTAAGGATAGATCGGGTCAGTTTACCGACCCGTCGGACTATAAGAGTGAGGGAATAGAGAATGCAACTGTGCTTGCGCATACACTCGGGCACTATTTTGTTTTCTTCAGCACAACAAACAATTGTGTAATAAAACATAATACAGGTACAGGTCTTATAAAAATGGAAATCAAGTAATTACACAACCAGCACCGTTATCCACAAAGTAATATCACAATAAAAGTAATAACACCGCAAACACGTTGTATGATACCACAAGTAGATGAATAATTCGTGATTTCCCTGAGCAAATCCCAGCCAACACAACCTCTATAGGCTATGCTAGCCAAAACTTGCGAGAAACAACAGTTACACCATTAATAATTTGTTTAAACCATAAAGCAATACTTTACTTAATAGTACATTACAAATGATAAAGCAAATATTTTAAGATCAGTAAAGTTATCATTATATGACTTCATGATACACCGTAGTGGAGCTCGCTCTCCCGCATTTGTTCGGCACATCTTAGGAGCAAATAAACGATGACTATACTACGTATTCAACTGGCTCGCCATTTATGATGATAGGGTCTTCGTGTGCATTTGTCATGGCTTTGGTTTTTGAAGTGTTCATTGTTAAACCTACCATGCGACTTTCTCTTTCCAGGTCTACGAGCATGTTTTGTAGATGTTCTTTTGTTGTGGCGAATAATATAATGTCGTCGGCGAAGCGTAGGTGGGTTAGTTTTTCTCCATTTATGTTTAGTCCATACTGGTCCCATTTAAGTTTACGAAAGATTTCTTCTAGGACAGCTGTAAATAATTTATGGGATAGCGAGTCGCCTTGACGAACACCTCTATTTATTTTTATCTCATTGCCCTCTTTTTCTAATTTTATCCTAGCTGTACTCTTAGTGTAAACGTTTTTTAGAATTCTAATGTACTTATGTTCGACACCTTGATTCTTCAGACAACGCCAGATGTTTTCGTGTTCTATTGAGTCGAATGCCTTGTTATAATGGATAAAGCAGCAATAGAATGGTGCATTGAATTCTTTGTTCTTTTCAAAAATTTGTCTTACAGCATGTATATGATCTAGCGTTGAATATCCTGTCCTGAAGCCGGCCTGCTCTCTGGGCTGATTTTCGTCCAGAGTTCTGGTTATTCGAGATAGGATTACTTTTGCAAAAACATTAGACTAATGGGTCTATAGTTGTTCATTTCATCTTTGTCGCCCTCTTTGTGGAGCAGGATGATCGTTGATGTAGTCCATTGTGTTGGAATTTTTTCGGTGTACAGTATATCGTTGAAAATGTGTTTTAGTAACGGTGCAATGTAGTTTTTGCAGTCTAAAAGCAAATCGTTGTTGATCTCGTCAGGAACAGGCGCTTTATCTTTCTTCTGTGTTTCGATTGCTTTGTATATTTCTTCTACTAGTATGGGTGAAACACTATTGTCGTGATTTAAATCAGTATTGTCTATTTGTATCTTGCTAGAATATAGGTTTTCGTAGAAGATTGTAGCTATTGATAATATGTCTGGTCTTTTAGTCTTTGTCTTGCAATAACGGTCTTTCAGATTTGGTATCCAGTTTTTATTGTCTGATAAAAATTTAAGAGCCTTTTTTATACCTCCAGTCTTTCTAATGTGTTTTTTAAAAGTCTCGAGTCTATAATGTTCTCTATCTTTTCTCATTTGGGTTTTTATTTCTTTGCTCAGTTTGCCGATTTTAGTTTTGTTTAATGTATTGATTAATGTGTACCTTTCCTCTAAGAGTTCAATTGTTTTTTCTGATAAATGTCTTTTATCCTTTGGCTAGCTCTCAGTCTGATTTCTGGTCATGTTTTTAGTATTTCGTGTAGTATATTGTATTTCTGTTGAGTGCTTAAGTGCGGAAGAAATGATTGTGACGGATTTGAGATTTTCTTTAGTGGTGGCTATTCTTGCTTCGTTGTTTGTTGTTGTTTTTACTTTGAAGGGCCTCCATAACCTCAGAGTAGATGATGTGTTCAGACGTGCTCTAAGCATTCTATGGTTACTATTGAAATTGAGGTTTGATATGGTGCCACAGTCATCAAATGATTTGGGCCTGTTAGTTAAAATGTAGTCTATTTCGTTTCTGTAGCGGCCATTTGGCGATACCCATGTCCATCGTCTAGAAGCCTTTTTTTGAATTGACTGTTTAGTATTTTCATATTATTTTCAAAAGCCATTTCCATTTGTTTTTGTCCATTTCTTGTTGTTTTTCCACAACTGTAAGGGCCCAGTACGATATCTTCTCCATTCCTTGGTGTCCCAACTTATGCGTTAAAATCACCCATTACAATGCAGTTTTTATGTGCGTGTTCTTTGAGGGCGGTATTAATAGACGAATAAAATGACTCAATTTCTATAGTAGTTGATTGCTCGGTTGGTGAATAAATTTGCACAATAAAAACCATATTTCTTTGTCTGAAGGGATCTTTACATTCAATATAGCAATCTTTCGGATATACCATTTATTTCTACGATAAAGTTTTTGAGTTCTTTCTTGATTAAGAATCCCACTCCATGCCTTCCTGGTGTTTCACCTTTATAATACAATATGAACTGGCTGTAGGTACTCCACAATAGCTTCACCATTCCGTCTTACTTCACTTAAGCCGATAATGTCCCATTTAATGTCTTTTATAGAATGTAAAAGTTCTTGTAGGCTCTCTTCGGACTTTAAAGATGCGTGTTGTATGTTGCTATGTGTATGTATTTGGTATTTTGTTTCTTGATATCAAAAGCATTCATTTGAGGTAGGGGGTAGTGTTAGGAGGGTAGTGGTCGCTTTCCCCGCGGTGACCAACCGTCTTGGGGTGAGTGTTTTGGTTGTTTCGTTGGGTATATACTTTTTGTTGGTTAGTTTGTGTTTCCTGTTGTCGGTGTCTATTGGTCGGTTTTTTTTTTGGTTGTAGGTAATGACAGTGACGCGGATCTACCCCGTGCCACGTAGTCTAGCATGTTCGTTTTATGCTAGACTACTTGCGAATCGGTGCAATCTCTTTTCCTCTTATCTCTTTTTGCTTCTTCGGTTCTTTGGTGACTCCTTTATCTTTTACAAAATAGCAAATTTTACCCTTTGCCCTTTCTTCCTTTAGTTGGGGCAGAAGTTGCTTCCTCTTCTCCAGTTTCTTTACTGAGATCCTCTTTGATGTACATTCCCGAATCCAGTTTTTTTTTATTTTTGAGTACTTCATTTCTTCTCCAGTTTGTTGTAAAGGTTACAAGAATAGGACGTGGTTTATTATCTTTCTTTTCTCCTAGTCGATAAGCGTTATTTATTTCATGTGAGTCGATGTGTATATTCATGTTTTTTCTAGCAATTTTATAGTGGATTCGACTGGGGATTCGCTATGTTGTTCCTATTTTACTCCAAAGAAGATGACGTTGTTTTTTCTTTTGTGTTCTTCCATTTGCTTGATTTTTTCATGTAAAATTTTGACTTCCGTCTTCAGGCTTTTATTCTCTTCCACTAGAGCAGTTAATTTTTCGTTGATACTTTCCAAAACGTTTTCAGTGACTGCTTCGATTATATCCCTTGTTTGCGCTGCCATTTCCTCCTTCATTGTTCTCCAGAAATCTTTCATTTGTTTATCCATGTTAGTGGTAGTTTCTTCGTTTTGCATGACAATACTGGGTTAGTGTTGGCAATACTGTTTTTTGTAAGCAACACTAGTTTGCGATTGGCAAAAACTGTTCTAGAGTTGGCAACACTAGTTTTGAGTTGGTAGCAATATTTAAGTGTTTGTCATCTGTAATTTATGGTCGCTGTTGTGTTTGGTAGGTTGGTACCTCGATCTGTCACCGTGGAATGGAATAAAGCTGAGAACAAATATCGGACGCGTCCGTCAGCCGCGGCTGACAGTCGCGGCTTAAGCTGAGAACAAATTATCGGATGCGTCCGTCAGCCGCGGCTGAAAGACGCGGCTTATTTGAATCTAGCCAGTACATTTAATACTAGACTGTGCAAACTATCGGTCGTAAGACGCGGACGTGCCCTTGGGTCATCCTTGAGCGTTCGGACGTCCGAACAGAATCTAGCCGGCTGGATATTTGTGCGTCCTCGGACGGTGTGCACAGGCCACGGGACGCGTCCGCGGACGTTTCGAGTGTCACAAACGAACCGACCGCGCTCGCGACATGTCAGACGAAGAAAATTTGATTGAATGTGTTCGTGGCCATGAATGCCTTTATAACTACAAACTGCAGCACTATAAAAATGCAACTTTAAAACAAGAAGTGTGGGAGCAAATTGCTGCTGAATTAAACACCACAGGTAAGA